TGCGGACGGGATCTTGGAACGCTAAAGCCTCCCCGTGGGATTCAGCGGAGAGGTCGGTCTGGCCACTGGAGACGGCGGCGGCGGAGCTTCCCAGCTGGTAGTACTCCCCGGAGGAGGAGTTCCTTAAATAAGTGTTGCCGTTCACATGGTTGTCGTGGGAGCTGTCGGTGTAACACAGCACCGTGGACAGAGGCACCACCTCGGTATGAGACGTCGGCGGGGTCGTCGCGTCGTTTTCGAAGTTCTCGGGCTTCTCGTCTTCATTTTCCTCGTCCTCAGAGTCACTGTTGGCCAGACTCTGCGTGCTGGAGTCGGACAGACCGCTACAGACGCTGCTGCTGTCCTCCTCGTCCTCCTCATCTTCCTCATTTTCCTCATCATCCTCTTCCTCCTCTTCTTCCTCATCCTCCTCATCTTCATCGTCCTCATCTTCTTCCTCATCATCCAGAGGCTCCTCCATTTCGTCCGTGGCCTGCAGGTGCATGCCGGTCGTCTGCGGGACGGCGTTGGACAGATACTCCAACCTGTGCTGGGACTGGACCAGAGGATTCCCGTTTCCCAGCTCGTTGGTTTCACAGCAGTAACCGTTGGTGGGCGACGCCTGCTGCTGCTCGCGACTCTTCTCCAGTTCCAGCTTCATGATGGTGTGCAAGAAGTGGGTCCGAACACGAATGGGATTGAACTCCACTCTGCCGGTTGAGTTGCTGCAGCCCTCTTTTGAGCAGCCGCAGGGAAACGACATGCGGTCCACCTGAGGAGAAACAAAGGCCGGCTTTATTGTGCTAATCATTTACTTTACAGGAGAACAGTCATTTTTACCACACGGTGCTGCCGGGTGAAGGTCACCGAGTGTTCAGTCGGAAAAAACAAAAAACATCAAGGTCCAACAGTGACCCAGTTGTTCTAGTGGTCTGGAAATGCAGTCCGGCTTTTACAAGGAGAATTTACGACTGTGCAAACAGTCTGACACTGTGTGAAATACAAACAGAGCTACTGTGTGTCTTAACCTGGAGGTTTCATTTCCCTAAAACGGTGGAATCCAAAGTGGGGGGGCGTGACACCCTTGGGGGACACTGGGTTCTTGCTCGGGGTCAAATTAATTTTTTTTTAAATTGTTTTTCTTCTTCATTTCAGGTATCGACAAGTCACGTAATTTTTCTTCATTTCAGGTATCGACAAGTCACTGAAATGAATGAAATTAGAGCTAAAACGAACCCTTTCTCAAGACACCACCTTATGAAAACAATCTCTGTTTGTCTGTGCAGATACCCATAAACCCCTCTTTCAGCCAGCTACGGTAAACACCACACCAGGAGTAGCTGCCGTGGGTGGATGTGCAGTAGATGGAACAACACAGAGGAGCTGTCCATCAGACACGTGGAATCCAGGAGCCTGCTCAGTAATGAGCTGCAGAGTGAGCAGCTAACAGCAGCTAACAGCAGCTAACAGCAGCTAACAGCAGCTAACAGCAGCTAACAGCAGCTTCTCACTCATCTGAGAGTGAGAAGCTCCCGCAGGCGATGGTCATCAGGGTGAGAGAAGGAAGCATCCACGCCTTGATGAGGTTTCTCCAGATTAACTCAGACATCAGAGGAAATATCTGCACTTTTCTAACCACCAACGTGACATCAGACAGAAGCCAGGATCTCGTTCAAACGTGGTTTAGAAAATCCTGGCTGGTCCAGTGACTTACAGCCCGAAGCGACTTATATATCATAAATGTGCCCCATATCATTAATGGCCAACAGAGGGCGCCATCTAAACTTATGAAAGATGAAGTATCTTGTGTGCCAAAAAATCAAGAACACGAGTGCGGACCCAAAAATGGTAAATAACCAGTGGAACAGACTAACTAGAACCGGTTTAGATTTAGAAAAATGAGGAGCACAAATAAAATTTGACAAAAAAGAAAAAAGAAAACGGTTATCAACCAGTGGAACAGACTAACTAGAACCGATGCTGACAGTGAGTCTGATGACTGACTGGTAAAAAAAAACAAAAAACACAGGGCTTCATCTTCCTCCAGAGCCGGGGCAATTGTTTAGAGTTTAGAGGATCCATTGAAAAGGACAAGCAGAACAATGTGGTCTGCGTTTTTGACCAAATCCTCCTGTTTCCCACTGACAGTACAGTACAAAGTGACCTGGGAAAACAGTACTATCTCTTCTAAAAGGTTGTGAAATTACTCTTGTGAGTAATAAACCTCTGTAGTGCAATAAAAGACACAGGTACAAAAACATAAATAATAAAAACAGAGCCACTGGTCTCTGCTTCACCCTCTTTAAATTACTTTTTTTTTTTTTTACGAGTCCTGCTGTTTACAGATAAGGACCTGGAGCAGTGGCTGCGGTCGACTGAGTCGAGGGATTTGTACCTGGCACTTGATCCCGGCGATGCTGCAGGCACAGGTCTCGGGGTCACAGAAGACTCTGCAGTCACAGCCGCAGTCCTCCCTGGAAACCCGGATGGACCTCAGTTCGTGTTTCTCCTCCACGTCGATCTTTTTCACCCCCGAGGAACGCAGCAGCGCTCGGCGTTTCTTGGTGGTGAGCGGCTGCAGGAAGAAATACTCGTCGACCTCGGTGTTGTCCAGATCAATGTCATCGTCGGAAATGTCCTCCGCCGTGAGCGTGTTGGCCTCGTCCGACTCCACCGTGCCGTTCTTCGTCATCTGGAGCAGAAACATGGAGTCATCATCACGTGTTAGGGTTACGATGGAAAATGAAGATCATTGGTTTAATAGAGTTTGATTCACCTTCAATTTGATGGAGTTGAGTTTCTCCTCCTTCAGGTGGTCTCTGAGCATGTCCCTGTGGATCCTCTCCTGCTCCAGGGCAAATTCGCCCAGTGAGTACTGCCTGACCCAGCTGTGCCTGTTGGACATGCCCAGTGTGCTGCCCCCCTGGCTGGGCACACTGGTGAAGCCCTGCCGCCGGCTGAAGTAGTAGACGGTCACATTTTCAAAGTGCACCTTCCTGGTCCGCAGCCGTTTCTCTCTCTTCAGTATTGAATCGGCTGTAAGGTAACACGGCAGGAGTGGTTACACAAGCTGCTGTAATCTCAGCAGTCCAAATATTTTAGAGATTGATTTTCTTTTTTTCAAGGTTAAAGCCACATATACTTTTTATTTATTTTTACAATTATTTAAGATTATTTTTCTGCTTTCTCACGGTCAGATTTTGGTCTTAGAGTGTGGAAAAATACTGTGAGTTTACCTGTAGAATACTGTATTCAGGTGGCTTATACCTCCATAGTGATATCAGAAAATATATAAAATATGATCTATATATATATATTTATATAATATCAAAAAATTTAAAAGTATTTTCTCTGTACATTTTTCTCTTAAATATGACCTTTAACCTTGTGTCTCGCTCGACCTCACCACCTTCGCCGAGCAGAGATTTTATCACATCACTACGGCAAGTGTTGGCAAGTGTCTTTTTAGGAGGAACTCTACAAGAGAGGGGGGGGGGGGGGGGGGAGGGGGGGCGCGAAAGCGGGGGACACGNNNTCCCCTGCTTGGCCCGGAGTTGAAGAGAGCGCCGGTTCACAGGAGCAGTGTTCCCAACATGCAGCTCTTATCTGACAGACAGGACAAATACTAAAAAGCATCTGGTTGTAATAGCTCTCCACGCCACACAAGAGGGACAAAGCGTTTCACTACAGATGTAGAGCTGTCAGACGGTGGAGTACAAGGCAGAGTCATGCTTCATTATCTCCAAAAAATAAAATGTAAAACAGGTGTCGGTTTATGTGAGGCAACAACACAGGGTCGGCTTGTAAAGGTCTCTGTAACAAAGCCTGAGTTCCTCCCTGATTCAAACGCATTAGCAGAAGAATACTGAACAGGTCCACTGTATTGGTCTGACGCTGTGTCACTGTGTCTTCGACTTAACATCTCCATCACAGATGTAGTCAACGACACATTTCTGAGGCAAGAACGAAGAGACAACACAAACAGGAAGTCACATTGGGCTACATGACAATGACGAGGTGTATTTATTCGCTAGTCAAAAAAAAATTATATGATGTATATATACATACATATATTTGAATATATAAATATATATACATATATATTTAGTCAAACGACTGAGACTTAATTAAAAATGGCTGACTTATTACTAATTATCTCTACTAAACTCACTAAGCTTAAAAAGCTTTAGTGAGTTTACTCCGTAATCCGGTGGTTCCCAAAGTAGGGGGTGGGACCCCTGAGGGGGCGTGGAGCTATCGAAAAGGGCACAGCCAGTAGGCTATAAGAGGTCTTGCAGAAAAAGTCATCTTCTCTCCCCACTCACAGGATATGAAAACCAACATGACTGTACTGATGAATGCCACCGACACTACAGTCAATCAGTGTTATGTCAGAGAAGGCCAGTCTTCATGGTGCACACCTCCCTCCCTCCCCCCGTCAGCTGACCTTCTGAGGCCCCGAGCGACCAGCAGCTGCTGCTGACAGAGTGGCTCGGCCTCAAGGAAACAGCACGCCAGACCTATGTCTCTGCCCCCTCCCTGCAGGTTTAGAAACCGATCTGTGTGTCAGACAGACCGTCGGTCGGAAAAATCTGAAGTATCAGGTGGTGTTGTCTGTTTATTTATTGTATTTTTAATATTATTTAAATTAATATAATATGATAATTATATGTATTAATATATAAATATATGTTTTATATGTAATATAAATAATATTTTTGAATATTATTCAAACAAACCAATATCAACTACTTTTTCTTATTTAATTAAATTTCTCAGTCGAATTCTCGAACTTGTTGAAATCTAATTGTGTTCAGTTCAGTTGGGTTTTTTTTTCTAAACTCTTTAAAAGAGATTTTTTTTTTCTCACCAGCTAACATTTAAAGGCCTAAACAAACCACTCAGGGATTAATGAATACTAAATAAACTAAATAAAGTGTGATCTTCTTTCATACTGTGTCTCGTCTCGAAGATGTTAAAATTCCCATGAGCATCTGCTGCTGCTTATTAGAGATGACTCCAGTGTCCTTTTGAACCTGCGGCACAGACATGTTTTTGTGCTCGTTTGTGTCCTTGATGAAGAAGTAAGAGTAATATTCAACACAGTGAAAAGGTAATCTGTGGAATAAAACACTTGTAAATTTAAATCCTTTGGTCTCCACTTGTTCAACTGTCACGTGTTTGAGTAATTAGTCTGAATAATTTACTGCTACTGACTTGACTGTAAGACTATTCCATATTATTCTTAGGCAGTTTGGGTTGACTTCTCATTATAACTCTATCCCACTGTCCCTTAAATGGCAGCCTGTGATGTGCATCCAGACCGCAAGCCTCCTATTTGTGGACAATAGCTGACAATGTTTTGTAACTTGACCAACTAAAATAAATTGAACTTCACCTCAGTGACAAAATGTGCAAAACAAAAAAGAAGATTTCAGTTCTGAAGAGAAACAGAAAGTAATTCTTAACAAGATTAAGAAAGCATAAAAACCAAACAAAAAACCCAAATATAAAAAGACTGATCCTTTTAATAGGAATGACCTTTGACCTGGACTTATTGGACCCATTTAGAGGGATTCAAAATGAGAATTGAAGATGGAAAAGAAAACACGTGACTAGATGTTTTGTTTAGTTGGCTCCCCATACTGACTATTGATGTATATAGTCTGAATACATATATATTACATATATATTTTTATATATTGACTGTAGTCAATTTTCCATAGTTTTCCACGATTCCCCCTTTTCTCTTCTTTCCATGTGTGAGTTCAGTGTGATTGAGCTGCAGGTGGCAGGTGCAGGTGGATGGTGTGAGCTGATTGGTTCTCTGTTAAGAGCTCCAAGGATAAGAAGCCAGATTGGACCACCACCACCACCACCACCTGCTGCTGCTGCTGGTGGTGGTGGAGACCTGTGTGAAAACTGACACTTCGTTAAGAAGGTCAGTAACCCTGTCTGTCTGTTGTTGTTGTTTAAAACTTTGCTAAAATGTATTTATTTGATTACTGGTAGTTTCATGCCAGTTCAGGTGAGGGCACTGTGGTTTAATCATTTAGATTTTATTCTTCGTTGGTAAAAACAGAACGCCACCAGGATTTTTTTTATTTTTTTATCCTTAAAACTGAAACCGAATACTAACGGCTCTTTGGAACATTGTCAAATATATGCTGTTGAACTACGACAGTTGTTAATTTCCATCTACACACACACATTCACACACACACACACACACTCATGCACAGCTTGAGTCGGCAGCTCAGCCCATTCGCCCGACTGAGTCTGTTAAGTGTGTAGTGATGCTGTTCCTAATTAGGCCGACTGTCTGTGTCTGCGTCTCCGTACCTTTTTATTTCAGTACTCGCCTCACAATATAAAACCTTCGGAGTAACGCGTGTCAATATTTTCAATATTTTTCTCCGTCCGTCCTCAGTGTGTGCTCCTCAGATGTAATTTACAAAAATGTCAGTGTTTTACGTTTGTTTGTTTGTAAGTAATGGTGTGTACTTTGCGGTCAGCAGCAGGTACTTACACACTTGGCACAATGCACAAATTAAAAAAAACAAAACAAAAACACCTACGGGTAAAGGGCCCTGAGGCGGAGGGGTTGACGCTGTCACTGCTGTCCCCACTCTCACTGCAGGAGACCTCATCATCAGATTCCCGCAGGGAAGAGCACGGGGAGGAGGAGGCTTCCACCTCCTCAAATTTCCTCTTCAGTATTCCACTCATGGTCGGCCGCATCTGCACCTGAAACCAAAGACAGCACCGGGGCCACACATTATTTAATATCCAGTTTAAGGCCTTTACAATCCTCAGCACACTTAATTAGCAATG